TGATTGGAAGCATGTCAATGGAAAAAATCGAGGTGAAATTTTAGGCAAATTTGATTGAAAACATGCTAATAAACAATACTCAGATGAAATTTTAGTCAAATTTGATTGAAAAACCATCATTCAACAAAACTCAGATGAAATTTTAATCATATTTGATTCGGTATAACCTGACAAAACACAATTCTCAGCACTCTTAAACCAAATTCCAAATTCTTTTGTTCCTCTAATATATCTGAGAACCCGTTTGGTAGCCTAGAAGTGTAACTCAGTTGGCTCTTGTCTGAATCTAGAGAGCATGTTAGCTGCAAATATAAGGTCTGGTCTTGTGAGGGTTAAATACAAAAGACACCCTACCAGGCTCCTATACACTTTTTCATCAATCGTCTTGCTGCCATCTTCTTTCATCAGTTTCAGGTTTTGGATTAAGGGTGTGCTTGCTGGTTTACAATTTTCCATGCTGAACTTCTTCAGAATTTCTTCAACATATTTCACGAATATTCAGTCCCATTATCAGTTCTTATTGCCTTTATCTTGCTGTCACATTCATTTTCCACCTACTTTTTGAATTTCTGGAATACAGTGGCTACATCAGACTTTATTTTCAGAAAGAACACCCAAGTCATCATCAATAAGGAGCACAAAGTATTGACTACCATTAGGTGTTTGAGTTCTCATTGGACCACACACATCTGAGTGGACTAATTAAAATTTAATTGAAGCTCTTCTGGTTTGGTTTTTAGGAAAGGGCATCCTGGTAAGCTTTCCCAATTAACATACTTCACAAACACAACCTTCATCACCTATATTAGGCAGACTTTCAGCCAATTTCTGTAGGTTTAATTGTTTAAGTGAAGTGTAATTAACATGTCCATAACGTTTATGCCACAGTGTAGATTCTATTTCAGTGCTGGTGTATGCAAGAGTTGTCACATTATTCTAATCTAGAGGGAAGCTTCTTTGCTTCATTTGTACTATCAGTACCTCATTCCCAGTAGGATCAAATATAGTGTAGCCATAGTTTTTAAAAATCAGTGTGTGGTTTCTTTCAATTAACTGACCTAAACTTATCAAATCTTGATCAATGTCAGGTACATATAAAACATCAGAAACATGCTTGATACCTGATGAAGTGTGACAGCAATCACTCCAATCCCCTCAACTTTTACATGTTCTCCATTGCCCACTTTCACTCTTGATTTGTATGTACGATTTAATTCAACGAAAATGCTTGAATCAGAAATGATATGATGTGTGCATCCACTGTCCAATAGCCATGTTTTATCATTGCTGCAGGCTAGGAAATTGTTGGCTGTAAAAAGGTGCTACTCCTGAGGTTGAAGGTGGTCATCTGCCAACCGAGCTTGCTGCTTTTCCTGCCTTTCTTTTTGAGTCTTGCACACTTTTTGCATATGACCAAATTGCTTACAATTTTGACATTGGACTACTGGCCTATACCAGCACCATTTAGGTGAGTGACCTGACTTCTTGCAATGGAGACATGGTGGATATGTACTAGTCTTCTCAGTAGACTTACTGCCTTCTCCCTTTTTTCTTTCTGGTCCTGGTTTCTTCACCCCAGAGCTTGCTAGTGCTTTGTACTTCTCCTTAGCAAACAAAGCCCCTTCAACATGCTCTTCTTACCTTAACAGCCTTCTTTGTTCAGTGGCATGAAGTGCATTAACTAGCTCAGACAAGGTGATGGTAGAAAGATCTCTTGAATCCTCAAGTGATGATATCTTAGCCTCAAACTTTTCCGGTAGGCTTATCAAGACCTTTTCAACAATTATTCTATCTGGTAAATCATCCCCCAACAACCTGATTTTGTTAACAACCTTCATCAGCCGATCATAAAATTCCTTCACAGTTTCTGCCTCCTTCATCTTCAAATTTTCATATTCTCTCCTCAAGTTTAGAACTTGCATTTGTCTAGTCCTAGCATTTCCCCTGAACTCCTCTTGTAGCCTATCCCAAGCTTCCTTAACCGTTTCACAGGTGATTATCCTAGTGAAAATTTCATCAGACACGGCAGATTGAATGCAGGAGAGTGCCTTAAACTTTTTTGCAGCTTTCTCACTATGTTGCTTGAGTTAAGCTATGGTTGGATTGGCTCTAAGTGGAGGTGGTTCCATCCCTATCTCAGTGATTTCCCACAGGTCGTAAGCTTTGAGATAGGCCTTCATTTTTGCAGCCCAGAAATCATAGTTTTTTCTAGTGAAAATTGATGGTAATGGTGCTGAAAAATCGGTTGAAGCCATTCCTTCCTACTTTGAATAATCACTCGACTGAATATATGGTTTTGTTGGAGGTTACCTTACTCGTTCTCTCCTTTCCTACTAGATTTTTCTTCTAAGATCTCTAGGAGCTCTGATACCACTAATAGATTTTAAAAATACAAAGAGAAGATGAAGTGAAAATTATTCAGTTCATATATATATTTTGCTAATGATCGACTGAATTGCTATATATTACAAAAGGATTTCAATCACATTTCAATCACCAACTATTCTAGCAACTACCCTTACCTTGTGGCAGATTGACCATGCTTTGATAAGCAACAAAAAAATGACCATACATAAGCTAATATAATACTTGCGCTATTACAAAGTGAAGTGACAAAAAAAGTGACACATGACTATCAACAGAGACACCATGGCTGACATTTTTCATGTAAGAATTTTGATTCAAAGAGAATTTGAATCGTTGGAAAACTGTTACTTTGCCGCTTAGAGCATTGACGCCTTGGGAAGCACATACTAATGGTTGTCTCAAACCTATAAAAGGCGATAACAATTTTTCTGCAGTGGTCTCCTAAAAATGTTAGTACTTATATGTGTACTTTTTTTGGACTTGTAAAAGGATATGGATATTCATTTCTTACATCTAAACGACTAGAGAATGAAAGATGCTTAAATTAGGGGTGGACCCAGATCTTCTTCTACCTTGCTATCGTTGCATCGCTTGAGAATAAGTAGCTGACTCTGCAAGTGCAAAATCTGCCGTAACAACAAGAAAAATGTAAATCACTAGCAAAGCAAAAGTTAAATGATGAAAATTGGCGATATGAAAGTCAAAGGTGAACCTAGGGAACCAAAGATGGGATAAAAAGAGATGGGAAATATAGAACTCAGCGAGCTGTTCATCTGAACTAGTTAATAAGAGTTTTACCCTTCTTACCACTTGTCATGAGAATTGATTGTTCAAGATCATTCACAACAAAACTTTAGAACAAATTAACATGAAAAAGTTGGAGATCTAGTATTCGCCTGAAAATGCATATTTAGTAGTGCAGAAATAAGGATAATAACGAACTATTAGAACATCATGTTGTTCATTGTTTCATGTATCCACCTTCGAATATTAACAAGGAGGGATAGATCAACAGAATTGGATGTAATGCATAGGATTTAGTGAGGGTGGATGAAATGGAGACGTGCTACAAAAATTCTCTGTGATAAGAAGATTCCGGTAACGTTAAAAGGCTAATAATTCAACTGTCTATGTTTACGGTTCCAAGGGTTAGGTTATTAAAAGTCAGATGTCCATAAGATGAATGAAGCTGAAAAGAGGACGCAAAGATGGATGTAGTCATGCTAAAATAGATAAGTAATTGAAATATAACTCAACAAGTGGAGGTGGTGACGATTGAGGAAAATAACAGAACAACAACTTAGGTGTTTTGGGTTATGGTTGGCCCCTTCCGCATAATGACGTGATTCCAAAAGAGAAATTAGAAGAGGAAGGCAGCAAAAGAAAAAATTAATATGCCATATTGCATTTGCAAAGAATCTAGTTACTTTAGATATCCTAGTGAATCTAGACATGAATAGTGGAATCACAAAGAATGATTCACGTAGAGAAGTGAATAAAGCTTAGTTACTCAAAAATTTCTTGAAATTAATCTAAAAAAGACAGCATAAGGTTTTTTTTTTGGGAGGGTGGGGGTGGGGGGCGCAACACACACACACACACACACTCTATAATCGGCTAGGAAAAGACCACAAATTCCAGTTTCACATTACGAAGAGATATGAAAGTACGATAAGAACGATCGATCAAGTGAATAACACGAAGTGAATATCTATAATTTTTCAATAAACAATAGAATTTATGTGCCCTTACATATGATGTTAAAAGCATAAATGAAAATGAATATTGTAGCTAAGCAGTTGGAAGGTTTCTATTTGACCACGAAGATATCCAACTGAATATAGCCCAACACCCCAAATTTATTGGATATGTGGTTTAATGTTTCAATGCCATCTTATTTTAAATGGTTAATGAGGAGTTTAAGAAATGAGTTGAACAACATAACCAACGCTTCAAATTTTTCTCAAATAAACAGATAAAACCCTCACTCTGGAACAATATGAAGGTTAAGAAAAGTTAGGAATGTAGTTCATTTGAGAGAATATAAGTGATATTGGTACCTCTTCTTGAAGTAAATGAGGAAGCTTCTCAGTGGAAACTAAGCCAGACATATCCTGCGAAACCTTGTAATCTTTGATACTGATAAATTTAATGATGCTCATTTCTAGAAGAATCTAGAATTGCTTGCCTAGAATATCCTAGAATTCCTTGGTAAGCAAGTATAATAAAAAATTAGAATTGTCTAGATTCCACTAGAGTAACTTGGACACCAAAAAATCTTGTATAGGTTGTAGACACTTGTTGAATTCTCTAGAAGATATGATAAGAGTCTATAAATAGGGCATGAGCCCTCATTTGTTAGTAAGTAAAAAAAGAAGCTAGACAAAGCTCAAGCTATTGTAAGCTATCATCATTCTAATAAAATTCCTTTCTCCTACCCACTTTGTCCACCAAATTACTTTCTACCAAAATCTTCCAAACTATTAACTTTCAATAAAAAGCCAACTATTTTTACCTCCAAAATTATTCCATACAAAACATCCTCAATCATCCTATCTTATCACTACAACAACACAAAAACTATCAGTGGTATCAGAGCCACGTTCGATTGATATTGGGCGTACGCATATATGATGGCAGACGCTTTCCGCTCATCAATTCCTATCCCAACATTTAATGGGGATAACTATGATTTTTTGTCTATCAAAATAAAGACCTACTTTTGTGCTCAAAATTTATGGGATGTCGTCAACGATGGGTATACTAACCCAGATGACATTTCCACTTTAACTTCCGCACAAAAGAAGGAACTTAAGGAGAATCAACAAAAAGATTCTCTAGCATTACTTTCTCTACAAATGAGCTTGATGGATACATATTTTCCAAGAATTATGGGAGCCAAAACAGCGAAAGAAGCATGGGATAAGTTGAAGGAGGAGTTCTACGACGGTAACAAGGTACGTACTTGCCGCCTTCAAGCTTTAAGAAGGAATTTTGAAAATCTAAAAATGAAAGAGTTGGAAACCGCAAAAGATTATTATTCAAGAATAGATGAAATAGTAAATCAACTAAGGTCTTATGGTGATGATGTTCCCGAAAAGAAGGTCGTTGGAAAAATTTTAATTACTTACACAGAAAAATATGATCCAATTATTGCAGCTATTGAGGAATCCAAGGATATAGATGAATTAACAGCTGCAGAATCAATGGGATCATTAGAAGCTCATGAAAAAAGATTAGAAAGGCGCTATGAAATGGAGATAGAAAACGGTTTTCAATCGAAACTTAATATGCGGTTTCAAAAATCTAAAGAAGGTGGGAGAAAATTTAAAGAGAATTCGAAAAATAAAGAAATTCAAGGAAAAGAAGTTGATAAAAGCGACAAGTATTCTTCATGCAGTATTTGTAAAAGAAAAGGTCATCAGGAGAAAGATTGTTGGTTTAAAGGTAAACCACAGTGTCGTAACTGTAGAAAATTTGGACATGAAGAGAAATTTTGTCGCCTTAAACAAAATCATCAAGCTAATTTCTCTGAAGAAAAGGAGACAGAAGGAAATCTATTTTATGCCTCCTAGAAGAATGTCTCTGAAAAGAAATTAGATACGTGGTATCTAGATAGTGGCTGCAGTAATCACATGACGAAGGATGAAGGTATTTTCTGCAGTCTCGATAAAATAAATACAAAAATAAAAATTGGCAATGAAAATTTTATAGAGGCTACAGGTAAAGGTACTATTGCCGTTGATACAAAAAAGGGCAAGAGATACATTAATGAAGTTCTCTTAGTCCCTACAATAGATCAAAATCTACTAAGTGTAGGTCAGATGATGGAGAAAGAATACAGTATACATTTTGAAGGAGATTATTGTACAATTTATGATAAGAAAGATAAACATCTGGTAATTGCAAACGTTAAAAAGCGGGAGAACAGATGTTTTCCAATCCAATGGAGATACGCAGACAATGCGGCAATGGCGGTGCAAGGAGACGAGTCATGGTTGTGGCATAAAAGATTTGGACATTTCCACTTCCATGGGTTAAAGATTTTGAAGCAAAAGAGCATGATGAGAGACTTACCAGTCATAAAAGAAATTGATGCAATTTGCGAAGGATGCTTGAGCGGGAAACATCACCGTCAACCATTTCCATCTGGAAAAGCATGGAGAGCCAAAAAGCCTTTGGAGTTGATACATACAGATGTATGAGGCCCGATGCGTACTCCATCACATAACCATAACGGGTACTTCATTCTATTCATAGATGACTATACTAGAATGACATTGGTATATTTCTTGCAAGAAAAATCCCAAGTATTTGAGATTTTCAAAAAGTTCAAAAGCTATGTCGAAAAGCAAAGTGGTTGCAAAATCAAAACTATCAGAAGCGACAGAGGCAGGGAATATACATCAAATAAATTCAACAAGTTTTGTGAAGATGAAGGAATGGAGCATCAACTTACTGTTAGGTACGCGCCGGAACAAAATGGCGTGTCAGAAGAAAGAACAGAACAGTAATGGAGACAGCTATAGCTATGCTGATGGAGAAAGGTCTTCCAAAAACATTTTGGGTAGAAGCAGTAAGCACTGCAGTCTATCTAATAAATCGATGTCCGACAAAGGCAGTGCAAGACAAAACACCAGTTGAAGCATGGGGCGGACGAAAACCATTAGCAAAACATCTTAGAGTTTTCGGCTGCATCTGCTACACATATATACCTCAGGAGAAAAGAGGTAAGCTGGATGAAAAGACTGAAAAAGGAATCTTCTTAGGTTATAGTACTCAATCAAAAGGCTATCGACTATATAACCTAAGAACAAAGAAACTAATTATAAGTCGAGACGTAAAGTTTGATGAAGATGCCACCTACAACTGGGAGACTGGTCAAATTGAGAAAAAAGATGTCAGTACCCTTACACAACCACAAAAGTAGGAGAGTGATGTTGAGGAGAACAATCAACCAGAGTCTTCGCAGCACGCAGTTATAGAAGAACCAGTTGACTCACCAGAATCATCGCCAAGAAAGACATGAAGATTATCAGAAATATATGAAAGATGCAACTTGATGATCATAGAACCTGAAAGCTATGAAGCAGCTTCAAAACAACCAGAATGGAGAAATGCTATGGATGAAGAAATAAAAATGATCGAGAAAAACAATACTTGGGAGCTTGTAGATCCTCCTCAAGATAAAGAAGTCATAGGAGTTAAGTGGGTCTACAAGACAAAACTCAATGCTGATGGCTCAATTCAAAAACATAAAGCAAGACTAGTTGCCAAAGGATACTCACAGCAGTTTGGCATCGATTACACTGAGGCATTTGCCCCTATTGCACGTCTCGATACTATAAGGGCGTTAATTGCACTAGCCGCATAGAAAAGGTGGAAGATTTACCAGCTGGACGTCAAATCGGCATTTCTTAATGGCTATCTTGAAGAAGAAATTTACGTGGAGCAACCTCAAGGGTACGTGGTTCGAGGTAACGAATATAAAGTTTTCAAACTAAAGAAGGCACTATATGGATTAAAGCAAGCTCCGCGAGCCTGGTACAGCAGAATTGACAACTACTTCACTAAGCAAGGATTCAGGAGGAGCCAAAGTGAACCAACTCTATACATCAAAAACCAAGGTACAAATAGTACACTTATAATCTCTTTATATGTTGATGATCTCATCTACACAGGGAATGATGAGAAGATGATCAAGAAATTCAAGGAAGATATGATGAAAATGTTCGAGATGACTGATCTAGGATTAATGCACTATTTTCTTGGGATCGAGGTAACTCAATCTAAAGATGGGATATTTATAGCTCAGAAGAAGTATACCACCAATCTATTAAAAAAGTTCAAGATGGAAGGTTGCAAAACAGTAGCAACACCTCTGGATAGCAACAAATCACTCAGAAAAGAAGACGGTACTCCAAAAGCAGATAGTTCACAATTTCGAAGCTTAATTGGAAGTTTACTCTATCTAACTACTACAAGGCCAGACATAATGTATGCAACCAGCCTACTTTCAAGATTTATGCAAAATCCAAGTGAAGTTCACTATGGAGCTACAAAGCGGATACTAAGATACCTTCAAGGAACAAAAGACTATGGAATAAGGTATGAGTCTATGCCTGACTCAAGACTACTTGGGTATACTGATAGCGATTGGGCAGGATCAGTAGATGATATGAAGAGCACATCAAGCTATGCATTCACACTAGGTTCGGGAATATTTTCTTGGGCATCAAAGAAACAGGCAACGGTTGCACAATCATCAGCTGAAGCAGAGTATATTGCAGCGGCAATGACTACGAGTCAAGCAATATGGTTAAAGCGCATACTTTAAGATATGGGAGAGCCACAAAATGAAGCAATAAAGATCTACAGCGACAGCAAATCAGCTATAGCAATGGTCAAGAATCCTGTATTTCACAGCAGAACAAAACATATTGGCATCAAGTATCACTTCATCAGAGAAGCTGAAGCAAACAAAAAGATAGAACTTAAACATTGCAAAACTGAAGAACAATTGGTGGACATATTCACGAAGGCACTACCACGAGCAAAGTTCGAGCTACTACGAGAAATGATTGGAGTTACCGAAATGAGCACCAAGGAGGAGTGATAAATTTAATGATGCTCATTTCTAGAAGAATCTAGAATTACTTGCCTAGAATATCCTAGAATTCCTTGGTAAGCAAGTATAATAAAAATTTAGAATTGTCTAGATTCCACTAGAGTAACTTGGACACCAAAAAATCTTGTATAGGTTGTAGACACTTGTCGAATTCTCTAGAAGATATGATAAGAGTCTATAAATAGGGCATGATCCCTCATTTGTTAGGAAGTAAAAAAAGAAGCTAGACAAAGCTCAAGCTATTGTAAGCTATCATCATTCTAATAAAATTCCTTTCTCCTACCCACTTTGTCCACCAAATTACTTTCTACCAAAATCTTCCAAACTATTAACTTTCAATAAAAAGCGAACTATTTTTACCTCCAAAATTATTCCATACAAAACATCCTCAATCATCCTATCTCATCACTACAACAACACAAAAACTATCAGATACCCATCCATGTTTATGGTGGCAATGCCAGCAAAAGTGCTGTCAAAATATTGTTGCTTGCAGGGTGTACTATGGAGTAACCACAGGAGCCAACACTGCAGCAGTTAGGCTCTTTTTGAGATAAAGGAACGACAATATCAACTCCTTGCTCTCCATTGCTGTTGACCACAATCCCAGAAACTGCTGTAACAGGCTTGTCGCCATTAGCCATGTAGCATCTCACACCTATCTCCCGACAGCAAAACCTATCTGCCAAGCCCAATTTCCCTATCAAAATCCCAGCCCCTTGACAGCAAACACTTGCTGCAATGTTAGGTAAACTATCTCTGAGACCAATAGTCTGTTTGATTTGGCAGGAAGACTTTTCTGAAGATAAAATATTAGTTACATGCTTGTAAAGTCCAGTCTCTTCTACTTGTTTCAACACCTCCTCCTGAAAAATTAAACAGCCATAGTGAATGAACTCAAAAAAATTTTAACATCCTGCGTTTTTAGATGAAAATTATGACTCAGAAGCCATTTGTTTTCCCTAATCACTATGTTTACTTGTTTTTACCTTGATAGCCACCCTTTCTTTCTCTTCTTGGCTAACACCTTGACCACCTTCCTCTTGTCTGCGAACCTTCGCCACCCACTTAATGAACTCTGCAAAATCTAATGGGAGAGACTTGAAAATAGTAGAGATGACATGTTTTACATCCTTCACATCATTTGAACTTAACAGCACTGGAAGATCATCCATCAAGTACTTTGCAGTACTAACCCAACTCTCATGTTTGCAACACTGCCAAAAGTATCAAACAATGAAATAAAGAAGCTACCCCGGGGAAAGAAGAGAGAGAGAGAGACATGAGGATAAAACCTACCACCTATGTACACAAGATGTTCAAATAAAATGTCTACAGAAAATGTAAATGTTAGGTCAGAAAGTTTTCATTTATTTTTGAAGTCCTTCAGCTAAAGTTTCTCGATTTCATTAAATAGAAAAATATCTCATGGTATGCATCTTTAATGTGAACTTAAAAAAAAAATTCAATTAGTGCCTGCCCCATCTAATATTATATTTCCCATGTTGGTGCCAATGATTCATTGTTCAATATCAAGTAAAAACATCTTATCAATATGTGATGTGAAAAGAAAGGATAAAAAGTTCTCAAAGAGTTATTCAGTTCTAATTTCAGTAATAAAAAATCTATTTTGCAAAAATATTGTAAATATATCTACAGAACTATGTGACTGTTAAATGTAGTTTTGCTTACAGAGTTTAGTAATTTATTACTGGCTATTAGGATCATACCAGGGTATAAAGCAAAGATGATGCTCTCTGACACCTAGATACAAGCATGAACCAGAAAATAATCAAGGTAACTGTAAAAAATACAGATTGGTGTTGGAATAAGTTTCAACTATGCGAATAGAAATGTTTACCAAGTCAAATACACCTGTAAATTGCAGATTAATAATATAAATCAAATAATAGTGACAATGTCAAAACCCAAGGATACAGCAAAAATGCATTAATTATGAGAATAAAGAATGTGATAACTAGGATGCATAATAATTGAAGTTGAATTTTAATCTTATCAGTCACTTCCACTTTAACCTTTGAGTGCACTGTGTCTATGCTCCCACCATGCACTACACCAAAAATCACTTTTTGCAACGGGTAGAAAACGTTGCTGTAGACCTATTGCAACGTTCGCGCGTCTGTTGTGGGTTTCAATGTTGCTGTAGAGTGAAGAGTTTCAGCAACGTTCTTTGCACATTGTCAAAGCTCTATTTTTTGCAACGTGCAATGAACGTCGCCAAAGCCTCTTTTTGCAACATTTACAGCACGTTGCCAAAACTCTATTTTTGCAATGTTCAGCGAACGTTGCTGAAACTCTCTTTTTGCAACGTTCTTTGAACGTTGCCAAAGCCATCTTTTGGCAACGTTTATGGAACGTTGCAAAAACCCTCTTTTTGCAACATTTATAGCACGTTGCCAAAGCTTTCTTTTTGCAACGTTCATGCACATTGCCGAAACTCTATTTTTTGCAACATGCTATGAACGTTGCCAAAACCCTATTTTTGCAACGTTCACTGCGCGTTGCCAAAACTCTCTTTTTGCAACGTTTGTCAAACGTTGCCGAAACTCTATTTTTACAACGTTCTGTGAACGTTGCCGAAGCCATGTTTTGGCAACGTTCATGGAACGTTGCAAAAAAAGGGCTTGACAGCAAATGTCATTTTTTTCCTCAATTATTTCACATTTTTTCTTTCATTGCAAACCTGTGAATTCAAAACCTATTTAATATATATATACCCACAAGTGACAAAAAAAAATTCTAAGTACTTCATTTAAGTAACATGATCCCATATACAATATTACTTCATCAAAACACAATACATACTCCAACTCAAAAATACACACCATCTAACCAAAGAGGTATGAAAAATGTCCAAATGTTGTGTAAACAATATATAACCAAAGCTTCAAATGAGTCCCAACCCATTCCTTTTACATAAATGAGATCCAGGAAGACACACAAAAAAACTTTGCTTTAGAACTCAGTTCGGCTCCATGTAACTGCAAGAAAGAAAGAATATAACAACAAATTAATCAAAAATGGCAAACCATTAAGAAACAATACAATGTCCTCTTTTAAATGCAGAAATTGAATCATAACAAGAATACAAACTCATAATTAAAAACTTGATCGATTTTTTAAAAATAAGATCAATTTCTTGTGTTTTAGAGAAATCATTGTGCACTCATCGGTAATGCCATGAACAAACTTCCACCTTGATGGTTCTAAACATAAGTATGCATATGAATGAAAAAAATGTAGATATTTATAAAGTACCTTCGTCAAATAAGTCTAACACAGCTCTTCGGCCGAGCAACAGTACTTCCCATGGCTTCACTAAGAACTCAAAATTCATCTGTTGGTCTATATAAGGGCAACTGACTCATGTACACCTCCTCAACCCAAACCTTCCAACAATCTCGTCCTAGTGGCACGTGATGCACCTTTGCACTTGGATCTATTGATGCAATCTTCCCCTCTCCTACAAGTTCCTCCTCCTCAAACATATACCAGTGCAATAGTTGACACTTTGCATTTTCCACTGGTGCAATACCTCCTTCCATACCACTTCCTTGTTGGGACTAGAAATTCGCAATAAAATAAAAATATTTTTAAAATTAGTATGATATAATCTGAATTTATATTGAACAAATAATAAATAATATACAATATAAAAACCTGTGGAGTAAAAGCACATGAACTCATGTCGTCCACATTTTTATTTTCATTCTGTAAAATAATACAAAAACTTAAAACTTATTAAAATGATAAGATATATTAAGCTACGCACGATATCATATTATATGTAATAGAAAAGTATAACCTTAGATAACTTCAGAAGTGCTTCAACCTTTTCTTCGAGTGCTTCCATCCTTACTGACTGAGTTTGTAATTTGCTCTCAAGTTCTCTCACTTTCTCACTGCTTTGTACATTTCCATCTACTTTTGATGGTGTAACCCCAAGTCCAAGTCCCCTTACTCACCCACGACGCTCGGGACCTAAATTCGAGCAGCAGCATCATCTTGAATAGAATTTTCAACTGGTGTATTAGAAATTGACTCAGCACAATCTTCTATCTTCCTCTACACTTACGAAACTTAAATATTACACTAGAAGCAGATACACACACAAACCCCCACACACACACATACAATACACATACCAAAGTTTTGGCAACTGCTTCATTTATTGGCTTTCCATCCTTTCAAAGATGTCCATGAGTCCATACTCTCGTTCTCAATCCTTTTATATTTGGATTCTTTCTTTTCTACAACAACAATATTTTCCCAATCACGGACACGTATAAAAAATCAATAACGATACATAAAAAAAATATAAATAGTTAGTATTGTACCAAATCGTGAGCCATGCATGAATAACCCTTTCGACCCATAGTATGGAGAAGCTTCTGAGTAGTTCTCATTTTGCTAACTTAGAACTTCTTTCCTATTAAGGGAAAAAATATAAATCAACAATAATTGACTACAAAGTTTAAAGTCAATATGAAAATTTAACTTACTTGAAAATCAGCAGAAAGAGTATCTTCTACAAACTTTTCTCATGCTTCTTCAGAGTTTATATTCTTCGGTCTAAGAAGGGCAATAACACGTTTTCTATTCATGGCGGATGGTACTTGACGTTTGATTTCTTTTCTCGATTTGAATGTCCTCCAATATGTTCTCATGCATTGAAATGTCATTTTTTGATGGCAGTCACTGACATTGAATCTTTGCTATATTTATCACAAATATAAAAAATGGTATCAAGCTTTGAACGAAAATGGCAGTGAAGCTTTGAACAAAACATAGTATAACGAATAATGTATGTACGTTTCATATGAAATAGACGTACCTGTATAAAATTCCAAAGTTCAATTTTTTTGTTGTCATCCACTGAAGGCCAATTTTTAATAACTACTAGCACATATTCTCATACTATGGCTCCGGCTATGCTGACAAATTTATTAGAGTTACTGCCAACTACTTGCCCGAATTCATTGAATTCAAGGTCCATCTTCTTATAGTTATTTTCAGCAACCATTTTCAAATGAGTTGGACCTCTTTTCTTTTTTGTAGCATCTACACTTGTCGAAGCCATGTTTTGATCACCAGTAATTGGAGTAGACAGGGTACATGTAGGTTCACTAGAAGGTCATAGCCTCTTATTTGTCTCCTGAATTGCAACAGCAATTGCAGCGCTTCGTCTTTCAAAACTCTTAGAAATTTGCTTATTTGACTTAAAGAATGCAACATGAAAAATGGCAGAAAGTTAATTTTTTTCAAAAGTTACCATCTTAAAAAGTGTATTGAAATGCACTCACCTTAGCTTTATCCATCATGCGTATATTTAATAATGTCACCTGGTTCCAAAAAAAATCTACTTGAGAGAGTACGAATCTGTAAACAATAAGAGAAAGAGAAAGAGAATGAGATTCAAAGTTCTACTACTTGTAATTTAAACAATTATATGTATAAAGATAGTTACCAAACTAATCAATTTATATATCACATAATATGCCTTCAACATCTATCCTTGCAAAATTCTCATCCTCCTCATGATTGTCTTCAAGTTGTGTTACATCCAATGGAATAGTTGCCCCATGAGAAGTATCTTCTTCCATATCTAACGCGTGAAAGTCTCTTGATGATGCTTGCAAAACAACATACCAATTAGATGTTTCATTCTCCATAGAATAAAAAACTTGTTTCGCCTGTGATGCCAAAATGAAAGGATCATTTTCAAATTGTCCCTGTCCCTGATGAAGGTTAACCAAAGTGAATCCATCTTCCTTCTTTATTCCATTCACAATATTTGCCCAATCACACCAGAATATTGGAATATGAAATGTATTGTAGTCAAACACTATAATATCGCACAAAACTCCATAATAAAGAACTTTCCCAACAACATGTGCAGTATCTTTTACACTAGATCTACATATGGTTGTTGCTTCAACTAAAATGCCACTGTTTTGGCGAGAGTTTTTGGCATCTTTAGTGTGAAATCGAAATCCATTTATTACAAAACTGGAATATGACATAGACTGACATCTAGGGCCACATGCAAGCCACTTTAAAGTATTCGAAACATTGTCCAGCAACAATTGGCCTGTAATCTGTTATTATTATAAACGTTAGGAATGAGAGAATAAACAATAGAATTAAACACTAATCTTGTCGATTTATGTACTTCAACCTTATTGTGCAACCAGGTAGCAAACGTGTCAACATGTTTCTTATGCAACAAATTCTCATTTCTTCCAAGTCGTTTGTCAGAACTCTTGAGTTCATCCATATGCATCCTAAGTAAAAAACAATATATCAAGAAATCCTAAAGAACTTAAAATCTCAAAAAATATATACTTCACGAACATACTGTACGTATGGAGCCACTTTTACACTATTTAGCAATACATAGCAATGGGCAACGTTCAACATCTAATCAGATAGTACAAGTGGCTTCCCTTTAGAAATTGGACGCCCTGCAACTAAGAAGTCACTCTCATACTCTTCATTGCTTGCAGTCTTAGAGCCGATTGCAGATGCTTGTTTTATGTATTTGCTACAAAACATCACATTTTCTTCAACAATATATCGTTCAGCTATGCACCCTTTAGGTCTTGCATGATTCATAACATATCCTTTCAACACTTTCATATACCTACACATTTTTCAAAAACATAACAAAATAGAAATTAATTTGATAGTGGATTTAATTTTTGGGAATAAGGAGTACTACCTCTCAAATGGGTACATCCAACGATATTGAATTGGTCCACATAGACGAACTTCTCTTCCAATATGAATTGTTAAATAAACTATTATATCGAAAAAGGAAGGCAAAAAATACCTTTCCAACATGCACAAAGTTTCAGAAACATCCTCTTCTAAAATTTCAACCTTATTCCTATCTACAACTCCTTGACAGATTTCATTGAAAAATGAACACAATTTAAAAATGGAGTTTCTTGGTCCTTTAGGAAGAAGTCTTCTCAATGCAACTGATAGTAATTGTTGCATTAAAAGGTGACAATCATGAGCCTTCAATCCAACTATCTTAAATTCTTCCACTGAAATGCAATTTGCAATATTAGAACCATAACCATCAGGTAATCTCAAGGTAGCAAGCCTTTTGCAAAACATTTGTTTTTCTGCTTTTGATAAAGTGTGAGGAGCTGCAAGTAAGTAAAATTTATTTCCTCTACTCTCAGGATGTAGATCATGCCTAATATTCATAGCTTCCAAGTCCTTACGACAGTTAATGCCATCTTTCGATTTTCCTTTCACATTCAAAAGTGTATTAATGATGCTCTCACAAATATTCTTTTCAACGTGCATCACATCCAAATTATGACGTATAAGCAAAGTCTGCAAATCAAACATTACTTGTGCCATGAGATACTACACGCAATTAGATGTGTTAAAAAAAGGAAATGACATAACTAGAGTTACCTTCCAATATGGTAGCCTGAAAAATATTGACTTTTTCTTCCACATTACATTGGATTGAGTCGTATTCTTCTTTCTCTTTCACTTACCACTTTTGCCCCAATCATTTACAATTTTATCAACTTCACTGGAATCTTCTTCACCAGTTTTTATCTTTGGCCTAATGCCATTTTCAATATGTCCATCAAACCAGCTCCTTTTCACGCGAAATGGATGACTTAATGCAAGAAATCTTCTATGTCCCATGTATGATAACTTCCTACAATGTGACAACCATACTGAACATGTATGTTCACGACAAATGGGACATGCAATTTTTCCTTTGACGGGCCATCCAGACACATTTTTGTAAGCAGGGAAGCCATGTATTGTCCACATCAAAATATCTTTTAAGTTAAATGTAGACTTTGCAACTGCATCATACATCTCAACAACATCACTCCATAACAATATTAAATCGTTTATAAGTGATGCTAGATAAACATCTATGTCATTACCTGGCTGCTTTGGTCCTGGGATTAATAAACTCAACATCAAATTTTCCTTCGACATGTATGATGAGGGAGGCAAGTTGTATATAGTTAAAATAACTGGTCAACAACTATATTTAGAGCTAAGATCTTTGAAAGGATTGAATCCATCGGTGGCAAGACCTAATCTAATACTTCTAGGATCTGATGCAAAATGTGGCCACTTTCTATTTATCATTTCCCACCCCAATGAATCAACCGGATGCCTCATTTTACCATCTGAACTCTTATTATTTGAGTGTCATCTAAGTTGTTTTGCAATCTCTTCTATTCCAAACATCCTCTTAAGTCTTGGTATGATAGGAAAATAACTCAAGACTTTTGCTGGAATGTTTTTTTTAACTTTCTTAGTTTGTTGGTTAACTTTCCATATTGAGCAACCACATTTTGGACATAATTTAGCATGTTCAAGCTCCTTCCTATATAGACAACAATCATTCAAGCAAGCGTGTATCTTTTCATAGCCAAGATTAAATATATTCACGAGTTTTTTCATCTCATAAAATGAGTTAGGAAGTGCATTATTCTGTGGTAGCATGTCCCGCACAAGATTTATGAGTTCATCGAAACCACTATCTGATAAACCATGTGTAGCTTTATGTTTAAACATAGCAACTGAAGCTGGCATCTTCGTAAACGCCATACAACCAGGATACAAAGGGGTTTCTGCATCGCTAACTAAACTTTGAATGTCTTCCTCTATTCCATCATCAGGATTTTCAGAATCTACATCATGTTGCGTATATAAGTCCCTAAACATCCTACATGACTCGGGCATTTCTACGTCGACCAAATTTGATTTACTTGGCATTTCTCCATGAAATACCCAATCAGTGTATGTAGGATCCATACCCTTAATAATTAAATGCTCATACACTATTTCATAATTGTGATGCTTTAGATTTCTACACTTGATACATAGGCATCCTATCATTTCTGACTTTAGAGTTTCACGAGCTAGTTCTACAAACTTTCGTGCTCCATCTCTGTATTGTTCTTAAAATCTATAACAACAATACCGTTAAAAAATTTATATTATTGTTTAAATTTTGAAAGTAGATTTATAAGATTTTATTTCGGATAGTGACCTTGATAATTGTAGCCATTCTTTGTCCATTATGATTCTATCAAACACTGAACAACAACAATTCAAATTGTGAACTGGTAATTTGCAACACAAGCAAATGTGTGAGAGCATAATATTCATATTGAAAGGAAAGTAGATTAGAGTAAGTCTCCTGAATGTCATACCTGGTATTCTGCTTCCATGAGAACGCAGTCTAATGAATAAGATTGTTGAAAGCAAGCTGTAATTTTACAAAAGCTTAGACAAGAAAAGAATTTTTGTGAGCAAGGCATGAAATCAAACACCATATTCTAAATATTGCCTAGTTTAGCAGTCTTTACAAGAAATAATCAAGATTTTACGATATGGAAAAATTATAAAATGAAAGAAAAACGGAACATTACCCTTTGATAGGCAAGGCCAGCCACAAGTCCAACAATACTTACAAGATGATGAATTGTATTGTCAAGCTTCACATGTTTGTAAAAAAGACAGCATACTAAATCATAGATTAAATAAGCAACTGTCACTGCTAGGGTTTGCATCTGTTTCATGTCCAATAAAATCAGTATTACATTGTCGCAAGAACTCATAGGACTGGGACTGGTATATGTTGTCTAATACTATGTAAAAACATACCCTTAACTGCTAGTAATTAAATCCAATACAGAAATTTTTATTCAAAAATGTTCATGACAAATTAGAAACATGAAGAAGGGCACACAAGAATCTGAAAGAAGAACCCTTAAATTTGAATAATAATAATTTCAAATATTGTACCCTTTATTCTCTTCATAAGTGTATGGTTAAAATGTTCAGGTGGAAAATGTTTAAATTTCAAATATTGTACACAAGTCCACGTCTCACTCACAAAACCAACTTCTGCCCAATTTGTGTTCTTCTTTTGCGCAGTAAGTTCTCAAATTGCTTTACTTTTCTTCTTCTTCTTCAAAAGTCCACATTTTACGTTCTGTAATATCTTATAAGTTAAAACCCCATAATTGTATTGGAAGTGTGAAAGGAGAATGTTTTGATGTTGACACGAAAAATTTAAAAAGTACATAGCTAAGTTAATATGACCATCGAATCCCCAGTAGATCGACTGTATGAAGAATTATTTTGATGTCCCATCGCTGTTCTCTAAGTTTAAATTACACACTAAATAATAAAAGTTAATTAGATAATTCATTGTACTTGTCACATACTTTTGACAAGAAAAGTTAAAACGTGTTTAGTGATAAAATCTTTAATTATTATTGCTTTGTTGGTGAACCTTTTAAAAATTGAGTTCAGTACAATAATAGAAACTACATTGATGAAGATCAATACTAAAGCATGAATTGGATCTATAGCAACGCCTACTTGATTAAAGATTGTGATGCGTGTACGATCTTAATTATTCATAAAATTATAAATAATAGACTATGAGACAAATGAATAAGATGTAATAATCAAATAGCTAGAACGATATCTCCTAAGATCTCAACCAACCTAAATAATATTTCTATAGGATACACTCATAACATTTTAAAAAATAATGTTGATGCTCCTAAGTGATGCATGACTTGATCAACACAAGAATGCAAAAATAGAAATATAATTTAATAATCGACTTAGGTACTGTAAGTCGGACAAAAACATCATCTCAATAACATAAAGAAGAATGACTTGCTATGAAAGTCTTTTCATACTATACCTTTGAGAAACATGGGTTATTTCAGTTGATAATTTCGTTTCATTTGTATTCAAAATAACATAAATAAAAGATTAGAGATTGACCCATCCATCTCCGACTGTTAGCTAATTCCTCTATAGAACTAAACTCATAAAATTTAAATTTGTGCAACAATTTACAACTTCAATTTTCCACTCCTTTCTGATAGAGAATAACAATCTTAAGAGGGGAATGGAGTAAGTTGAAATACACAACTTTCTGATAGAGAGAGACTTTCTTATGAGGGTAATAGTACAAGCAGTATAACAATTTACAATTTCAATGCTAAACTTGCAACATCATTGCTGAGAATGACCATCTGAAGAGGGGAATAGTACAAGCAGTGTAATTATACCAATCAAACATAGTCTGAACAATGAAGAGAATCATGGGTAGCAACGAGGACCCCATGATATATAAGGAAGTCAATGCCAGGTAGCTAGAAATTTGCTAACCAACCTATTTGAAAATGACAAGGATAAGTAGAGATACGACTTGTCAAAAACAAATTGATTTTCATGGTGAATCAGCTCATAAAATGGTGTGGTAGCTCGTGAACTCTAGCTATGAAAAATTGATTCTGGTTTCAATCTACAATTTCAATTGAACCAAGAACCAATGAAAAGTCCAACACTAAATCTAGAGTTAGAAACTTAATAACAGGGATAAGATTAATACCTGGTGAGGAGAAGACTAGGAAACCAAAGGGCATACTAGGCAGCTCCAATCTTGAACAGAAAGAGAAGCCAAAGTTACTGCTAAAGAAGTATGTATTGTGGAAACAACTCAATTACAGAAATCAAATGAACATTTTGGAAAGACCCTTCTTGTTAACAAGAATAATGTCGTCCATGAGATTACACCAACTCGTGCCATGTTAGATGTAATTAAAAGCAAAGAGGAAATATGGAAAGTGGAAAAGAGGAAATAAATTCAGGTAAAATGAAGCAAATTATGGAAAGTCCATAACCCTAACTCCTATAACAACTCTGTCAAATTAGGTCTTTAAACTTGCATGTATATACCTTGCAGGAAGGGGCTTAGGTGGGGCCCATTTAAGAGTCTCCATTCTCGAACCCGTCGATCGATTCTAGGTCGGAGGTGTAATAAGAATCCTCTTCGCTGTCGCTCATATAATCCCCCCCATCCTCGAATATTTGTTGCTTTATCAATACATGTGGGAGTATTTACAAATAAAGGATGAGAATATTCAAATCTGATTACTTTGATCAGCACTTGCCGGGCATAATCGGCGAGATCGAAACGAATTTTCCAGCGGCACAGGGTATGGGTATAGGTATAGGGAACGAAAAATTTGGCTTCAGTGTGGAGTCTTGAAAATCTGGGCCTTTTTGTAGAAAGTTGGTCGGAGATTAGAGACCTAGGAGAAGTCGACCACCGGCGACTGCGAGAGGAATAGTGCGAGAGTGGAGAGACGGAGAGAGACATGATAAGTTACCACCTAAGTTAGCTAGCAAGGAGAGGATGTCAGAGTGGACAACCTTCAATGTCGCTTTAAAGTCAGCAGAAACATTGAGCGACGAAAGTGTAAGTGCTTGTACCAATTTCGCACTCAATAGCTCAAACTTTTCCTTATGTTTAGTAGTACTAGCCTGGCCGATATCCATGTCCATAAAAGATACATACTCAAGTACAGACTGCTTGAGAAACTTCATATTTTCCTCCAAAAAAGTAGAAGATGAAGCAGAAGGATGACTAGTTGAAGTAGGGCGAGACGTCTTGACTTGTCTCCAGGAATTGAACAAGTCCTGGATGGAATGCACAATGTCATCAGCACCCTGCAAAGAAAAATGCCAATGTTGAGGTCTTTCACTACAATAAACGAAGCGAAAATGAAAGTGAGGCAAAAGGTTACCTCATCAGCAATCTTGGGAAGTTCAGGCATATCACCAGTTGACTCCACCACCTGTGGGGACTTCCCCTTATCTGGGCGAAGAGACTCTACCACAACGGCCAGGCCCATGGGAGCCTCTGCATAATTCAAGAAGCAACGAATCAGAAACCAGCAACACAAGCAAAGATAAAACATCAAAGTATGTATTACCTTTTGGTTCGACATTTGGGGGGTCAGCGTCCTGGGAAGCAGGTGGCCCTTCTACTGGTTGCGATGACGATTTTGGGACTAAGGGTTTCTCTTTAAGCATAGTCCCTTCATTAGCTGATTTGGACGAAGCAGCTTTAGTAGAGATGGTGAAGCAGGAGCTGCCAAAACCAAAGCCTTCGAAGGAGAGGCTGAACTTTTCTGAGAAATTTAGGTAAACCATTAGTACATAGAAAAGTATGTTTGTGAATAAACAAATTCAATTACCTTTCTCCTAAGGATGAGAGGAGCATCATCATCATCATTATCATCCTGCAAAATGGGAGATGTCGAAGCTGGCCGTTTGCGGCTTAAGGCACCTTTAGCTGC